CTGATAGTGACAGGGGGATGGCAAAAACATCACATCCATGCTAAAGAATGAGAAGGAATTCGGACCTACACTTCTAGGACAGCTGCATATCTTGAACCAGATGGACATACCAGACAACATAAGCACATGAAGAACAAAATATCTATCCCAAACCACTTTGGAGTCTTTGAGAGAAGCTGAGATTGCATTCTGGGGTGAAGGAGCGGGGATATGAAAACACAGAACTATACTAGAAGCATTTGGAGTTTTCCCAGATAATGTCCCAGGCAAGGGGGAAAGAACCTTGGAAGTATCACAGGAGTCAGCAGCTCTCTTGCTGCCTTTTGCTCATCACTACCTCTATTCAGACGTTTTAATCAAGCAGGTCTCTGACATGGATGCTGGTGACATACTCAGACATATGAATGCAAGTGGTGGAAGTCTGTTTGGGAGTCATGGGCATAATCCAAATGCTCCAGTGGTTTTGAAAGCTGGTTCTGAAAATTGTTAACCCACACAGATTAATAATGCAGAGGCACCTGGAACAGGAGGAACTTGTTCAAGTGGTGTAGACAGTATCATGTTTGTTAATACAATTTACATGTTGCAGGCATTTGCTTCAGTTGATAACTTTGCTCTGAGGATCCACACTTATGACCTGAAAGCAGGACTCAAAAAGGGTGAGAGAAGAAATGAAGGCTCCCCGGCTCCACCTGTGATCCTCCTGCAGCCTGGGATCTGAGGTGCTCTGAGGAGAAAGCACTATTCTCCCGAATGTTTCTGTTGCAGAAGAGAACTCATGAGTTTTTAATTTGAAAAAAAAATTGCCTGTGTTTTATTCTGCTTGGCATCACATTTCTGAGTCTGCAGAACTCACTCAGGCTAAAGGTATGTGGATTGTACTTCTGTAATAAAACTTACCTAAAAGAACAAACTGATGGTTTTCTCCTTATTTCTTCTGAGAAGCATTCAGAGACAGCTGCAAAGAAAGTGATGCTGGAAAAAGTTTCAGCATTTTCCTTTCAGCATTTCATCCATTTTATCAAACCAGGTGATATTGAGGAATATGAATATTTATGAGAGAGTGGGATCCAGCACTGCAACATGATGCTGAAAGCAGATATTGGAGCATATGCTAATCATGCCATTAAAGGATTAGAGAAGGCCAGGTTAGTTTATCAATTTTTAGTTGTATTTTTTGTTCTTCATATACAGTTTCTTGAATTTTCACGTTATCTCTTTTGTGAAAGTTGAAAAAGCTGTTCTGCTAGCTGCTGACTACTAGTGCACCATCAATCTGCTCTATAAGCTCTAAAAACTCATGGATCAATGTGCGGTGGCTATGGGATCAAAGGCAAAGCTTCTGAACTCATCCACAGCAACATGAGCTGTAATGCACAGGGGACATTCTGCTAACCCAATGATTCGTAAGAGAGAGCTCATGAGTCAGTAGAAGTTTCCTTTTCTGATACAATATGAAAGTCCTAAAACAAGTCTCTTAGTATTTTTATCTCTTTTTTTTCCAAACAAAATGTTAATTCTATTTCTGATATAATTCCCTTTTTCAAATACAATTACATGATAAATTTGGTAAATGATAAGCAGGTCCTTCATAGAACTAAGCTGGTTTCTCTCATGTAAGGATTTGGCTTTAAGAGATTTTTAGCACATCAATTTCAGAACAGTTTTACATGCTAAAAATAGTAAGCAAATCTGACTAACAAACCTTAGAACTCCCAAATTTCTTACTCCAGATGATTTAGCTATTTTAGGTAATACTTGATTTACGTACATTGCACAAGTTTGTATACAAATGGTAAGACAAACTTTCAGAAAACTTTTGCTCTTTGGTGCATCTTCTCTAAATTGGTTTTCCATTATTCCTAAATATTGCAATTTTATAACTGTAACATTTTTATTTTAATATAATTGTAACTTTTTTTTGTTTTATTAAGTGGAATATTAAAGAATAAATTGAAGCAAAAATGGAGAGTAACCAAAAGATATTTGATAACACCTAAAATAAAGATAAAAGGTTCAGTAAATGTGAGGGTGCTGTACATCAGGATTCCTATAAAAACCACTGAAAAAGACTTGATTTCGCAGGAGTTGCCTGTGTTTAATTATTATCCTGGAGATGCTCTCAAGCACTATTTTCTCCCAAGTGACACTTTCCTGAAAGGGCACAGGTTTTCCAGTACAAAACAGTGGGAACTGCCATCCAAAAAGGGCTCTTCTGCCTAGATCTTGGAGGACTCACTTAGGACATCAATGGAAAAGGGTCTTTTCTCCATCTGTCTGTTTATAAAGAATTATTTTCTTTTAATGACTTACTGTTATCAAATGTTGAAATAGTAGTGTGTGTAAGCTTCAGGAGGAAAAAAAATGGAAAAGATAGAATTTGGATTGCCATCCCAAACCCTTGTCAATCATCCCAAACCAACCTCCTTCAACGAAAGTCCTTCCTGTGAGGAAGGACTAAGGAGAAAGGGGAGGTGGCGTCTGTTCTTCAGTTTGTCTTCAAGAGGAGGAGTTGGTGGCTTGCAACAGGATGCTGAAGGGAAATGCAGGCAGTTGTTAGTGCAGCTGAAGAGTGCTTGGGGCATTTGGGGACAATTCAAAGCTCCACTGGAGACTTCCTGAGTAAACAAGAGGACCTGCTTGATCCCCCTGTGATTCAGTTTCTTGTCCATAGAATAGGGAAAATAGATGGCATTGTTAGATTAGATGCACTACATATTTCTCAGATCGTTAAGGGAGCCCTAGAGAGGTTTCTTTATCAACACTGTCATCCCTAGAGATGTTCTGAGGCCATTCTGAGGCTGCTTTAGCCGGCCTGACCGCATGTTGTCCAACCTAGTGTACTACCTGCAAGAACAAAAGTTACAGCAAGCCAGATTCACCAGGTACAGTATGGAAGGGTGCAGTGCGGTACATCACAGCCCCAAATGGCTCAGTGTGGTAAGAAGGCCCGGATTTGCCAGTGATTCTCCAATTTTTAGTCTATACACATCTCCTCAGAGCACGCAGCCACCCATACTGCACACACATAGCAAATGACAGCAGACTTGTTTTTCGCGTATCCCCTAGACTGAGTTGGCTGCTCCCCTCCTCCTGCCAGGGACCGCAGTCCGCAGGACTCCTGCGAGACCCCCTCTACAGGCTGCGCTGGCTCAGGCTTGCTAGCGCTAGAAGGAAACTTCTTTCTTCTCCGCTTCCTGCTGCCAGCAGCCTTTGGCTTTTCCCGCAGCGGCGCCCTCGGCGGGAGCGGGACTGAGGAGAAGGAGCGGGGCTGGGAATTGGGGCTGAGGAGCGGGAGCGGGGACAGCCGCGGGCTGCCGAGTGCAGCCTCCCCTCGTCGCTCCAGGCCAGGGGACTGGGCATCCGCACACCTCGCCGTGCCCCGGGCACGCGTCCCTACGCCACCCAGGAGATGGCTTTCTCCTTCCTCTCTCCTCTTGCGAGTAGTTGAGTGAAGACCACCGCGCTTCCCCAGGTCGTGCACACTGCACAACGCCTATGCGCCCTAGCCGGGATATTTCTGAGGTGAGGGGAATACGGTGCCATTGATGCTCATCCCGCCATTCCGGAGCAGAATAGCTCCTTCGACCCCTAGTTATGTAGTAACAAGGGGAAAATTTCCTGAAATTAGACTACTGCAGGAACTCTGGTTTTAGTCACAGCTGTCATCCGAGAAACAAATTTCCAGGCATTTTTAATCTAATTCACTTATTCTTTATGTAACTGAATTAGAAAATATGATTAAGCATCGCAGAATCTTCGGCATTGAGCCTGCCTAACCTTTAGTAAAACATGAAACAGAAAAACTTATTAGAAGTAAGAAGAAATGGTGAAATCGTCTGTATGGATTTGGTACAATCGTTACCGACTGAGTAGGATTAGAGGCACAAAAGCTCAAGAAAAAAGAAAAAAAAAAAAGGGGGGGGGGGAGTGAATGATGATCTTTACAGCTGAAATTCTTCCGCGATTGTTTGGCAAATATTTCAAGGCAGGCACCGAAAAGATACGGTGGGATACTGAAGAGGTGCTTGCTGCAGCAGCTCCGTCCTGCCGGCCCGCCCGCGGGTCCCACGCCCACTTCCCCCGTGTTTCTTTCCCTGCTGCCCACAGCTCTCTCTGTGGCAGGGAAATTCGAAGGAGAAAAATCAAAGGCTTGAAACTGATTCTCCCTTGCTGTGGCATCCCCGAGGTCTGGGCTTAAGACACCTTAGAAGGAAGAGCTGATCCCCTCCTGCTCAGGGAGGTTTAACATACGCTCCAGCCGCGTTCCCTGCGCACCCGCGCAGCGCGTGCCGGCGCTGGGATCCGCGGAACCGTCACAAGCACCCGCCGTGCTCGCCTGCACCAAGAGGCGCTTGGATGTGGGAGTTAATCCGTGTTCCACGAACACGCACGCAGTTTAAACAAGATAGCGAAGAGTAGAAAGCACCTCGACACCTGCTAAAACCAAACTAAAACCTGTAGGAAGATTTTGTTTTTCAGACCAGCTCCCTGCGCACCTAGGGCGGGAACCCCCATCAGGGACTTACATGTGCCGGGGGCAGAGAGGGACCGGCTTAGCACGGAAACACTGCCGGAGAGCTAGGGAAAGGAGCAACCCCGCGGCGCGGAAGGGGCTCCTCAGGGAAGCACGGGGGCTGGGGGATTACGGGCTGGGAGCGGAGGGGCCCGGAGAGTGCAGCCACCTTCGCTCCGGCTATCCCGGGAGCGGGCAGGGATGCGCGGTGTGGCGCGCCCGCAGACCCTGCTCTCCCGCCTGGCCAGGCGGAATCACCCCTCCGACGGGGCTCCGCTCCTCCAAAACTATGTCATTAACATAAATCAAATAATGGCCGAGGGGGTGAGGGGGAGGGGGAAGAGGTACGCGACTGCTCATGTGTTAAATATAAGTCTCTGACTGTCCTGAACAAAGCGACCGTCCCCTTGGGAAGGGTGACGTCTCTCCAGTAACGTGATTGCTTCTTCGGAAGCAGAAACGTGTAAACGCTATAAAACGCGGTGGCGCGGCAGGCAGCTCAGAGCGTGCGGCGAGACGGAGCCCTCCTCTTCATCCTCCTCCTCCTCCTCACCCTCTGCCGCCGCCGCCCCGGCAACCGCGCAGCGGAGCAGGGCGCACTCCCCCAGCACCGCTCCGCTCCGCGCCCGCCCAGCCAGACCCACCGACGGACTCGCGGCTCCGTGAGTAACTTTCTCCCCGCCGCAGCGGCAACTTCCAGCGCATGAGGAAGGATGTCCCCGTCCCGTACCCTCGCTCCTCTTCGCCCCTCCCGGACCTGCAGGGAAACCATCCCGGCCGTCGGGGAGCGGGGAGAGATTCTGAAAGCCCAAGGCAGCCGGGGCGGGACCCTCTCTTGTTACCGCTTAAGTCGCTGAGCCCCGGGCACCGCTGTCCCTCGCACCGGGCCGGGGTCGCCTTCGGGAATGCCAGCTCTCCCTGACCGCGGGCAGCTGCCCCGCCATCGCGACCCTGCCGGCCGGCGGCATCTTTCGGGACAGGGACCGGGTTGGGAGCGGGGCCGGGGCAGTCGCTCGGCGGCCCGAGGCGAAGTCCCGGTGCCCCGGCGCGGGGCCAGCGGGTGCGGGCGGGCCGGGTCGGAGGGTGACGGCTGCGCTCTTCCCTCCGCAGGTGGCGGCCATGGAGCACCGCGGCGCCTCCCCGCTCCTCCTCGCCCTCGCCCTCCTCAGCGCCCTCTGCTGGCGGGCGCGGGCGCTGCCCCCGCGGGGCGCCGCCTTCCCTCCCGTCCCGCGGTAAGGCCGCGCTCCGCTCCGCGCCCCGAGCCCCGAGCCCCGCTCCGCGCCCCGAGCCCGCAGGAACGGGGGGCCGAAGGGGCTGTGACATGCGCCACTCCTCCGCTGCGCCCTCCCGAGGAACGCGCAGTGCGGCGCTTGCCGTCGGGTGTTTGCCCGGGATCGGGCGGGTGCGCGGGGTCCCCGCGGCGAGGCTGCGGTCAGGCGCCCGCCGAACCCGCCCGGTAAAAGCTGTCGGGACACGCAGGCACCTCCCGAGGCGGCTGCAGCCGCGCTGCCCCACGGGCTGGGTCGCGGTGTGCGCGGGGGGCGGAGGCGATGTGGGTCACGGTGAGCCCTGGGACGGGAACGGGCCCACGGGGACAGAGCGGGGGGCAGGATTTGTACCTCTGCGCGCTTCCCCCGGCTGAAGTTGCTGTTAGTGGTCCATGTATCTGAATTAAATCAGATGGCAGAATGGTACGGCTTGCATTTAGGTAAGAGGGACATAAAGTGTAGAAGGACCAATGGAAAACAGGCAAAAAAAGCACTGAGTGACTTCCAAAAGGTGTGACTTGAGCCGGTTTGTTTTACCCAGCAACTTTGCACCTTTTTTTTTTTTTTTCTACCAGACAGAAGACTTACATGAATCAGACATATAATTTTTTTTTTTTTTTTTTTACCAGACAGAAGACGTACATGAATCAGACATATAAATAGTGCTAAAAGTGACTTTAAAATTGCGAGGGCATAAGTCTATCTTAGTTTTAGTATGTGACTTTTGCATGTCATCACACGCAGGGGTTTCCTACAATGATTTCCTTGTCTGCCACAGAATATCAGAGCAGCCAGAAGGAATGATGCCAAACCACTGCTATGCAGTCAGACTGCCCTTGATTAAATATGACACTTCATAAGAAACTGCATAAAATGTGAAGTAACTGTACATCAGTTTATACAGAGCAATTGCCATGATACATTTGAAGAGATTAAAAGATTTTTTGGCTTCTAACATGAGAGAATAAAAACATGTAGAGATACATGACTGCACTTTTAATTTAGTTTGAAGTTCTTGGTGTATTTGCTTTCTTTGGAGAAGGCCTAAGAACTGTTTCATTCTTCATTTCAATGCACATCTTATATTTAACTGGGAGGTAAGTACGTCACAGGAGCAGTTTTCACTTTGCTTGGGTGGAGGCTGTTAATTTCATCCACCATTTACACAAAATGCAGTTGTTAGAAAAAGCTTCACAGTTGTCACTTGTACTGTGATTGTCATACATTATGCACTGGAATAAATTGCATTCAGTGACAACATTTATCTAGAAAATATAAATTTGAGACAAGGATCTGTTACGTCAATTAATCTACAATTAAGCCTGGATTCTATCTGAAAGTGATTTTTGAATTATCCAGATTTCATTTAAATGCCTTACTGATGAAAGTAGGTAGATGTGCATTTTGGCACAAACCAGAATGTTATCTCTGATAAAGTGTCGCATGTCCTCAGTTAGCTGTACTTTACACGGTTTCTTTCTCCAACAGATTGGGAAACAGAATGCCTTTTGATGGAGCCAGTGAACCTGACCATGCCCGTGGGTCACTAAAGTCAGAAGCAGATCTTTTGCAGAACACACTACCTGAAAATGAGAAATTCTATTTTGATCTGTCCAGAATTATTGATAGGTGAGTTTCTTTATTATCACAAATACAAAAGATAATGGACTACTTGATTTCTGCCAAAAAATCATTCACATTTTCAAACGGAGATAAGGAAAGGAAGACTCAATTATGGAAGAAAATCCCACAGCCACTGCTTGCATAGTGGTAGCAGTAGGGATGTCGGCAGAAATATTGATTGTATTGCCATTCTGGCATGATGAATGCATTCACTTTCCAGGAAGGAGTAAAAAGTATATTGTGAAAATCTGAAAGTTATTTTATGAAATTAGTTCCCTTTAATATGTGCAATAGTTAAATTAAGGAAAGCAGTATGTTTGCAAAATGAACGCTATCAAAATTATATGAACCCAGGCTGTATTGTAGAGTTTATTTATTGTCCATTTCAGAAATGCAAGGCATGCTGATGGAATTTTCACCAGTGTCTACAGCCATCTTTTGGCTAAACTTGCTGTGAAGAGATATCTGCATTCGCTTATTAGAAAACGAGTTAGGTGAGGTGACACATTAGGTAGACTTTTTTTTTCCTAGCTGGCTTTATTGGCAATTTTTTTTACCCTTCTGTATCCAAGGTCTCCTTCTTTTGATTTAGAGATACCGAAAGAGAAGCTTATATAATTATGGGGGAGCTAAAAATCCTATGTAAGTATTTAGTGATATTACTAAATGAGTATGTTACTATTTATTCCTGACACAGCCATGAGAGTTAGAGCAACAGATACTGCACAAAGCGTGGATAATGTGTACTGGAAATATTATAATGGTTATCGTGCCGAATTGCTAATTGTTTTTTTTGGTAGTGTTTTTACTATCTTGGTGGATGAGTGGCAAAAGTAAATACAAAGTGATTGATTACTCAGTACTTAACAACAGGGAAATACACAATGAAATCAATAAATGATTGGTTTATAGTGAAAATGTAAAGGTATAGTTCTTTTCTGCTGTAGAACACATTGACAGGTGTTTGTGAGATCTGTATAGCAGCAGAATTCAAAAAAGAATGAGGCAAATTTGTAGACTAGAGGTCTGGATGCAGCTTCCAGACCAATACATCAGTAAACTAATGGGCACAGGGTGCTGGGTAGGATCTCTGTATACTTCCCTTGTTTTCAAATCCATAAGCAGCAACTGTGAGCCACTGTGACGATATCACTGAGTATCTACTTCATAACCTTCTCAAAAGCCGAGTAAAAACTAGGTCCTCCGTTTGTCAGTGCTGCCTTTGTTCCAGAACATACAGTTCCAGTTTCTCATATGCTGTAAACTAACATAGATCGTTTAAAATAGAACACCCTGACATGTCCCAAGATTGTGCATGAAGAAAAGACCCTCAGGTTTGGCTTTCACAAGGTGTGTTTTGTCTTCTGAAACCTTAGAACAAGCATTTATAGCTTTATGTGATGATGTACTCTAACTTTCCTTGGTGGCAGACTCCACCCCCACTGAGTTCAGTGTGAACAGTGATGAGGTCCTTTAAGAGCTTATTGCAACTTAAACCAGGTTGCACCTTGGCATTGTACTGAAATATATTCACACAAATTACAGAAATTAGAATAAAGTCTGTTTATTGAAAGGTGCAACCTGGGGTGTGAGAACAGGCAGGAATCATGAAATTCACACTAAACCACTTGGTCTTGTGGAACTCCTGGGACAAGGACATTAGAAATCATTGACTATGTATCCTAATTGCATAGGCCATGGTAAAACTGAGATGAGAAAACATCGGTGGAAGGTGTTCCCCAAAAAGCTGAATAACAATTTTTGGAATTTGATCCTTGTTATTAAAATACATAGTAAGCAGTGGAAGCAGTGGCTTTTTTTCAGCTGAAGAAAGATCCGAAGTCATAGATGGAAATGAAAGCTGAATTGAAAATTTGATTTTATTATTAGGCTAATCAATATAATAAAGCTTATTTCAATCATTTAATGGTGTTTTCTTTTAAACAGATGTCATCTGTTAACTTTTCCTTTGTAATTGTTGTGTTGCCAGCTCCCAGGACAGTCCTGTCAAGCGCCACTCTGATGCTGTCTTCACTGACAACTACAGCCGCTTTCGAAAGCAGATGGCTGTGAAGAAATACTTAAACTCAGTTTTAACTGGAAAAAGAAGGTACTACAAGAAAGCACATATGTATTCTTTCCATACTTTTATGGCATCAAGACAGAAAAGGTTTACATCCATGTATGTATACAGAGAGGACAAACAAAAGGCACGAAACATTAATGACTTGATAGCATAGTTTATAGTGTGGTTTTCAAATACAGACAACACTTTTTCCCTGGCTGGAACAGACACCACAATCAGAATAGAAGAATAAAGAGGAGATAGCATCTGGCAATTTAAAAAATCTTCCAACAGATTCTTAAATACTTTTTGTTTAGTAAAAATCTTCTTAAGGAAAAAACCCCATGTAGTTATGGAACATGAACAACAATTTTATAAAGAAATATGTTGAAAATTTGCCTCTCTGTGAACACACAAAATGAAAATTTAAAAATCCCTAAAGGACTATATGTCCTCATCAGTATAGGTGAGATGTGCCAACATACATTTTTATAGACCTTGTATTCTGTATGTTCACTCATTTAGACGACTGCTTTTAAATATCATGTCTCAGTATTCATTAAACATGCAATTTCATATGTTCTGTAACACTGTGGTTTAAGTATAGAAAATGTAGAAGCTACAATTAGAAGAAGGCTTTACTTCCTTTGCTTTTTCTTCTGAGATCAATAAAAATTGTTTCTGATCCACAACAGCCAGGAAGAGCTAAATCCTGCTAAACTTCGAGATGAGGCAGAACTTCTTGAACCATCCTTTTCAGAAAACTACGATTCTGTAGACGAGCTGCTGAGCCACCTCCCACTGGTGAGATGCCAAGATTGCCTTTTCTCTTGCTATCTGTTGCTTGACTTGACCCATAAAATGACATTAATCATACATGGAGTGTGGCCTGTCAGAAAATCAGCATTTTCTAGGAAAGGGAGTCATATTCCATGAAAAGCTTTATGTTTGTAATGTTTCTTCACTCATTGTGTCTCAACAAAATAATAGTTTTAATAATAAGCGTTATCACATGATTGCTGCTATTGAAAATTCCTAATTAAATGGCACTGTTCATAATGCGCCTAGCTCACTTGGGTGTTTCAACCAATGAGCACTGCAGAATAAAACCAGAAGTGACTGATTTTTAATTACAAAGATCATTATTTCTTCAGAGAACAAACTTGAGGATATTTCTTTTAATTAAAAAAAATGCTGCAGATTTTGTTTAACATCTTTTTCATTGGAAAGTTGTCCCTAAAACTAAGAGCATCAGCAAGATGAACTTTATGCATTAAGAAAGTACTTGACATGCAAATCTTGCAGTTACTGTTTTCCATTTAGCTACTACTATTTTTTCTAAAATCATTCACAATTATTTTCTTTTTAGTTTACTGAAACAAAATCCCTTCTACATCAACACTTGCAGGAACAAAATATTGAAAGAGTAAGGTAGAAGCCAATTTGGCTTGGTATTGTTGAAAATGGTTTATGAAATTGATGATTGGATAGTTTTTGGCATTCAACTGTGTCTCAGAAAGTAAGAAAAAAGATTAAAAGGCTATTCTTGAAGATAAAACTTGGAGAAATGTCTTTTCTTGTATCATCCCAAACCACCCATCCCTCTGACCCAAAAAAGATGTTTCCTTGCAAGACTGAAATAAAATGAGAAGATGTTCTTTTCCTTTCCACAAATATGGCAATTCCTCTAAGTTCTTGAAGTTTAGAAAGGACATAAACTGCTTGTGCACTGAAGAATTAAATAATTTTTAAGCAACATGATTCTGGAAAGAAATTATCTTTCCAGACAAGACTAATGCAAGAAATATCTGCTCTTGGATTTTGCAGCTTCTCAAAGTTCTGGCATTAACTAAGGAAGAACAAGTAGTGGTGCAGCAGGTCGTAGATGTCTTCCTGAAAACATTTTCAGTCCTTTCCATTTTTATTGACTTTACTGATGAGGCAGATCTGCTTGTAGGTGAATCAGTATTGACTCTTACTTGCCATTTTATTGCAGTGCCCTGTTGCTAATGTAGTGTGGAAAGAGCAGCCTGAGTTTGTGTATCCATTTCATGGATACAGATTTTTTCAAAGTGAGCAATTCTGTGCTGTAGGCTAATCTGCAGTAACATTTTTCTCTAGTCTTTCAACCTTTCTTTTCTGATCCCACGGTCTTGTCTGAGTGTAATGCCCAGCAAACTCCTGTGAGCAGCCACATCTCAGCTTGTCAGTCCCAAGCACAGCAATTGTTTTGTATCAAGTGTCACTCAATGCCTGCTGTCTGCCCTCGTACACTTCATGATGCAACTGCTTGCAAAAGTGACTTCTAAAGCACATCTCTCCTTTGCTTTTCAGGACCTCTGAAGGACACCTGGTAAAGTCTATGACAAGAACAAGCTATTTTTGAGTTCCACATAGTATTTCAAAGAGATGACTTTAGTCATCAAACCAGAACAAATATGTTGTGAAGTGAAAGTTGTGATATATTTGTTTCTTACGTAATAAAAATTGATATTTACATTGTAAATATTACTCTAGCATTCTCTACTGAAAGCTGTACATATGGATGCCAGTTTAACTCATGAGAAGTCTGTGAGTCCATATGCTGTAAATCCTTTACTTCAATAAATTCATTTGAAAATGAGTGTGCAGCTGAAAAGAGCCCATCATGACTAATTAATTGGCTTATTTTAGGTGTGCTCCAACTTCAGACAGACGTGTGTAATAACAAGGAAACATTTCTAGATAACCTCATAAAGAACATGTAATAACATGAGGGGAAGAATGTCCAAAGTGTGTAAAACTGCTTTACAAAGATCTCTGAAGGTTATTGCCACGAAATGCTTTTCTAGCAGTTTACCAAGCAACCAAACAACAAGAAAAAATTCATAAGAATTAACAAATTTTTGACCTCCAGTAGTATCTACTTCTGGTATATTTACTTCTGGTTCACATTTTTAATATTTCACAGCGTATAAATTATATTAAGACCAGAAATGTCTCCTTTATTTTCAGTTGTGTTTCAGATGCTCTGGGGCTGACAAAGTGCTAAAAGAATGCAATCTTTTGACTTGTTTGATGCCTAAAGTCATCAGTTATTCTATATTTAATTGTCTGTAGCTTTGATGATGAAACTATTGCTTATATATAAAATAGACCTGAAGACAGTTTACTATTTTTTCAGAATGAATGTAATTTACAGAATATGCAGACAATAAATCATTTTATTATCATGGCAAGCTATTACTGGTTTGAATCAGTGCTACAGCTACCTGGAACAACAGAGGTTCCTGTAAGTGCTGTCTGTATAGGGGAAGATAATATTTTTAACTGATTTATGTTATATTATTTTAGAAAGACAACTAAATAGGCCTACAGTCCCCTTTTCTGTAGCTTTCTATTGTTGCAGATGACCACAGAACTGAAAATTTGCAGCTGTTTGAGTCACAGCATTGATGTAGAAAGTAGAAAAACTTATCAGACCTACTTACAAGCTCGATTTGGAATTTCAAGTATATTTATAAATCATACATATGCACATATAGACAGCTATAAAACTGATTTGCAAGTTTCACTTACAAGTTTACCGTTCTCATTTAGAAAGAAACTTCTAACATGATAAAATCTGAGATTTATGGAGACTGGTTCTCATAAATATGTAGCCCTCCGATTTGCAATTTTTTTTGAATATTGGCAACTGCATGCCAAAAGAAAACCAGCTTTCACAGACCAGGTGCTAATATTGCTATTTCTATCTAGCCTTGACAGAATCTATTTCAGCCTAAGCCAATGAGTGTTTCACAAAAGTTATATTTTCACAAAAGACATAATTTTGAAGTCTGCTCTTGAAAAGTGGTTTTCCACCCCCAATTCCCATCATACTATGAACATCTGAAAGCAAAAACATCTTTGTAAATACTTGAAGGATACTAACAGACATGCTATAATACTTTTTTAGAAATTTTCCTTAGTGTAATTTGAACAATGTTAGTATTTCTGTGAGATGCAATCATTAAAAAATAAGTGAAAAAAACCCCAGAAACAAAGCTGCATATGGTCTTTATATACAGAATTCCTTTTAAATGTATGTAATTCACTCAATTTAAAGTAACAAAAATTCGAATAATCAAACTTTTGACTACACAATTCCAGAAATAATTTTTTCCTAATTTTTTTAAATTCTTTTTTTATTTACCAGTAAAGCATCTGATGGAAGAACTTGTCTTCCATGTCCATTGTATTATCTTCCTGATATTCCTGATATTTTGTTCTCCATGTAAAACTGCAGAATCTGGAACCTGTATTTTCTCTGTTACGTGAAGATGGAGAAGAAAACAGAGACACTGATTAGGAAATCATATATATATATATCTATACACACACACACATTGTAATAATTCAATAATGCCATGGTAGCTTCCCCTGAGGGTTAGCAAACAGTGACAGTCCAAGAAGCAATTTTGTTCATTTTGCTATGTACACAAAATTCACCAAGTTTGCTGAATTTTGTGTACATTGTAGCAAAACCTAGCACTGACAGGGAAGGCACTAACATAGAGAAGAATATCTTTTTCTTGGCATCTGTGTTAAAGGATGGCTTTTAACTTGTTATAGCAACCTTTGGCTTTCCATAGGAGATCTAAAGCCCAATTAATACAGTGAGAGTAGTTAATTGAGGAAGAGGTGACATTGTTCACCTCAAGCCCAGGGGCAAGTGGTCAGGGTAAGGTTAAATGATGAAATTGAAGAGAAATTGTAACATTTCACTAAATGACACAAGTTTCCATCTTGTCAATGATTTGATACATCCCACCAATCCTAAAGCCCATCTGCAAAATGTCTTAAGCATGGAATCAAACCACTTCAATTAGGAGAATGAACACGTCAGCTCCGAAGGGAGTGTTGGGAGGACTGCTAGGAGGAAAAAAATACCCAGGGGATTTAGAAGAGCACAGGGAAATAACAGGAAAAATGCAGCCACTGGGGAAGGAATAAAACTGTGATGGGTTATTGGGATATGTATTAAAGGAAGATCTCACCATGTTTCTTCAGAATTTCACTTCTAATACGCGGTAGGATAGAACTAATTAGTTTTTGTTTTATCAAATGGCATTAGCTTTTTAAAGCTTCCCTCTGGAGCTCTCAAAGAAAGGTACAGAATCACCTTTAAGTGCATCTTTCACCAGCACTAGAAAAGGATCTTTTTTGGTCCTAAATCCATAGAGAGGATTTGCATGCTTGTGTGCATCTGGGCATTCATCATCCATTCAAGAACAGTCAGAATTGTGTATAACACCATGAGAATTACAAAAGTTGACAAAACAATTTACGATTACAGCCAGTAAAGCACATTAAAAACTAATAAAGCCCTAACTACTCCTCTGATATTTTAAATGGATTTGAGGGGCTATGAGTGTTTGTTCCACCTGAAAGTCTGAGAAAAAAAAATCTGTTCAAAACTATGGAAATGGGTAGCTTTGATCCAAAGCATAGTTATAATTTAGTGTATGGGAATATTGAATTCTCCCCAAAGATGGAAGGAGTTGTATGCACATAGGAATAATTTATGTGCATGCAAGATATTTGGGGCGGGGAGATGGAAGAGGCTGCCAACTGCCTTTAGTGATGCTACTCATGCTTTCCACTACCTCTTTTATTTTTCCTAATTTTTTCTCTTACCCACTTACCACGGGCTTTCCCACACTTTAATAAATCTCACTGTTGCCTTGCAACATTGGTGTATGAATATACCTTTCCTTTTGAGAAGAGCAATTAGAGCAGAATTTAAGCTTAGGGTGCAGCAATTAAAGAATTACCGGCCTTGTTGATGGAGAGGAGTATTGTAGAGGACCTGGCACAACCAGATTTGCAGGAGCAGCCTGTCCTGCTCAGAAACAGTTCCTGACTTGCCACTGGAGACTTCCCATTTGCTGTGTGACTGGCAGAGAAGACTGACCTCTCCTTGGATACATCAAACAGAACGCGTGTCCTCCCGGGGCTTGCGCTGGCTCAGGCAACTACAATATTTTCAGCTTTTCTGATCTGAAGCAGTCACAGACAAATTGTTTGCCAGCTTGCTAAATTGGTTTAGAACTAGAAGTAGGAAACCAGGAACCCATCTTTTATACCAGTCTTTAAAAAGTCCAAAGAATAATTTGATGCATATTATTCTTATTCATGTAAACAAACAGGAAAGGTTTTATTTCAGTTTTGCACAGAGATACATGCAGGCCACTTAGGGAGGGGAAAAAACCCCAATTTTTCCTTGTAAGGATAAATATTTTCAAAAACTTAATTAATCAACATTTGTAAATAAAAATATGACTGACTACTCAAAATTAAGGTGAAAGTGACATAAATTGTAATGATACAGTAAAAAGTGATACATATCTAAATATCAACATTATCATGGTATGAACAGTATTTTCAGTAGAGCATATTTTTGGGAAAGAATGAGGGTTGTTTCCATAATGAGATCAAAAAAAGAGTAAATTATCTTGTTATTCCCCATTGAGCAGATTATGTTGTATTAGATCAACTTTTGCATAGGATAATATGCTTATAAGAATGTACATGAGAAAGGTGCATAAGATCCATTTTCTGTATCTTTTTCTAGAACTGCTCTGAACATTTCAATGAGACCACAGTATCTTATAGCCTAAGTTATTTCTAAACATGAGATAGAGATGCTTTTAGTATGTAGATGCAGTTATTTAATAGTTTTCCAGTCAGAATTTATCCAACACACATCCTATTTTTGGAATGGTGGGAAAGTAGAAGAAAATCTAAACACAGTCAACTGTCTTCTGTTAGATGAGATATGTCTGTGAAGACCTTTCTACTTAGGAAATGTACTCAGAGCAGCAACTTTTGTCAAATCTTATCAAATATCAAAGCTGTTGACTGGGAGGTGTCAAGTTGTTACACATCAGCTTTTTGATAGAGAATAATTCATTTATATGGAAGCCTGGGATGCTCCTAGTTGTTTGCTTGTTTTATACACCATTAAATTGTTTTTCACAGAAAGTGGTCACAAGTATGTTTGACAGATGTCTTATCACCATTTGTTTCTATTCTAATACAGTTCATAATCTTTGTTTTTCAGACAGTCCCTCTTCCCATAATCACAGCCAGAACATCTGCACACTGGTTTAAGCAAGCAATTTTCTCTTGTTAGGGAGTATAGAAAGCAAACTACTGCATTCTATGAAGACTCTTCATTAAAAGGCTAAGGATATATATAATCTACGCAGAAAGACTGAGTCTTGGTTAAAAAGAAAGAAGAGTTTAAAAATTCAAGATTTGGTGTCAATAGTTTCAGTCCCATCTGATGATTCCTTTCACAGCAGTGCATTTGTACTTGGAGTTCCAAAGTTGGTGTCTGAGCTCTGGTCTTGAGCTTGTAGTAAGAGAGAAGAAACCGGTAAATGTTGATGTAGAGTAGGTGAAGACTGTTTTCAGAAAAGTACAGGATGTTAAACTCAGTTTATATAGGGCTGTTTGTTCTCTGTAAGTTTAAGACTCTTGCCTTGAGAAGAAACAGCCATCTCTTGCTGTCAGAGGACGTCACATTATGTAAGTTCATTCATTAACTTAGCAAACTCCCTCAGGAACACAGCTGGGTTGTTTGTCCCCTAATTCTGC